CCTCTCCCTCTCCCTCCCTGCCTCTCCCCCACCCCCGCCAGATTTACTTAAGAACTGTGTCACTAATTTAATAACTGCAGTGCAATAGCAACTCTGGAAAGAAAGATTGTAAAATGGGTTAAAATTCACTTAACAGATGTCTCACTTAGCAACATAAATGTTGGGCTCAATTGTGGTTAAATCTAGGATTACCTGTACTTTAATGGCACTTCAGTTTTAATGTAGAGATTGTAATATTTATTTGTCTGAAGTGGTGTAGGGTTTTCTGCCTAAGCAGGGGGTTGGACTAGAAGACCTCCAAGGTCCCTTCCAATTCTATACTATTCTATTCATATCCTATCCTATCCTATCCTATTCTCTATTCTAATTCTGAATTCTATTCTATTCTATTCTATTCTATTCTATTCTATTCTATTCTATTCATATTCTATCCTATCCTATCCTATCCTATTCTCTATTCTAATTCTGAATTCTGTTCTATTCTATTCTATTCTATTCATATCCTATCCTATCCTATCCTATTCTCTATTCTAATTCTGAATTCTATTCTATTCTATTCTATTCTATTCTATTCATATCCTATCCTATCCTATCCTATCCTATCCTATTCTCTATTCTAATTCTGAATTCTGTTCTATTCTATTCTATTCTATTCATATCCTATCCTATCCTATCCTATTCTCTATTCTAATTCTGAATTCTATTCTATTCTATTCTATTCTATTCTATTCTATTCATATCCTATCCTATCCTATCCTATCCTATCCTATTCTCTATTCTAATTCTGAATTCTGTTCTATTCTATTCTATTCTATTCATATCCTATCCTATCCTATCCTATTCTCTATTCTAATTCTGAATTCTATTCTATTCTATTCTATTCTATTCTATTCTATTCTATTCATATCCTATCCTATCCTATCCTATTCTCTATTCTAATTCTGAATTCTATTCTATTCTATTCTATTCTATTCTATTCTATTCATATCCTATCCTATCCTATCCTATTCTCTATTCTAATTCTGAATTCTATTCTATTCTATTCTATTCTATTCTATTCATATTCTATCCTATCCTATCCTATCCTATTCTCTATTCTAATTCTGAATTCTATTCTATTCTATTCTATTCTATTCTATTCTATTCATATTCTATCCTATCCTATCCTATCCTATTCTCTATTCTAATTCTGAATTCTATTCTATTCATATTCTATCCTATCCTATCCTATCCTATCCTATTCTCTATTCTAATTCTGAATTCTATTCTATTCTATTCTATTCTATTCTATTCTATTCTATTCTATTCTATTCTATTCCACCTCATCTTAATTTGCCACCCTCTTGAACCATGGAACAATATTTTATTCCAATAATGAATTCATGGTGCTAAAAACGGTTTTAAAAACGTGACAAGTGCTAAAACCGGCGAAGAAAAACCCCTGGAGTAAAAATTTTATGAATATTTTTTTTCCCAATTTTGGCCTCACAGAGCAATGAAGTTTCAGTTTGCTAAATCTGTAAACAGCCAATTCACGTTTATGTTTTGGGCTGATATTCTGCCTCAAATCTAGAACCTTGACCCAAAGGTGCTTTTTCAGGAGGCAACCGGATTTTCTGGTTTTTTCTTTGAAGACGTTTCGCTTCTCATCCAAGAAGCTTCTTCAGCTTTGACAGGATGGTGGAGGAATGGAAGGATTTATGCTTCTTGCAGACAGCTGGTCATTTGCATCCTTTTAGAGAGTCATTGAGGCCACTTGGAGATGTATCTGTGTCCTCAGGGTCACCTGAGTAGACTACAGGAACCATTAGCACCACTCAGGTGACCCTGAGGACACAGACAAACCTCCAAGTGGCCTCAATGACTCCCTAAAAAGAATGCAAATGACCAGCTGTCTGCAAGGAGCATAAATCCTTCCATTCCCCCACCATCCTGTCAAAGCTGAAGAAGCTTCTTGGATGAGAAGCTAAACGTCTTCAAAGAAAAAACAAGAAAGTCCAGTCCAGACAACCTTAACCTGGATGACTGAGAATCTCTACAGACTCAAATCTAGAACCTTAATTTTATTTTATTTTCTTATCTTAACTCTTTCTAATTTGGGGGGGGGGGCTGAAGTGTTTTAGCTGTCCATTTTTGGCTTCGGGCGCCCAATTTCCATGATGAGCTGCTGAGGCAGCCCTGAAATATTTCTGCTTTATTCTATTCATGGGCGCTTTCGGAGAGTGGTGGTGGCTTTGCCTAAATACTGTGGAAATCAATTCCTCTCCTTATCTGTCCTTTCTTTAAAAAACGGGATCGGTGGCTTTGCAAGCTCTGCTCATCGTCTCCGAGATAAGTCACTTCTCTGTTTGTGTTACAGATCAAGCTGGGCCTTCCTTGTCGTTTTATAGCCCTCGTCCATGCCACAATTTTCACATTCTGCCAGCTTGAGATGCCATCTCTTCTGAAACAAATTTGCTGCTTCCTTGAGCAATTGGTAGCCACCCGCCGTTTGCCATTTTTAAGAGCAGGCAGGAGAACACTGGGGGAATAATTACTTATTAGGGGACTAATTCCGAGCGTCAGAAAAGAACAGAGAGATAGGATTACCCCCACCGATTTCGGCAGAGAAGTTAGCCTTGTCCTTTAACCGTGACTTAGCTGCAGCGATTCCATCTGTCACTCTGCGGGGTGATTCGAAAAGCAAGGCTAACCTTTCGGTTCCTCACAGATCACTTCTTTACAGAGCTTCCTCTTGCCAAATAATTTTTCATGAGAAATTTGAAAACTTAAAAACAGGTAAACATCAGATACCTTTGATATATTTGGCAGCATTCAGCCAAGGTGGATGTTTTTTTATGTTACATGCCAGTATGAATGATATATTCTATTTCTTATTATTCTTCTGCTTTTTGTTTTTTGTTTTTTGTTTTAGTACATGTGGATTTTTTAAAATATTTTTATTACTAGTGTCTGATGGTTGGTAGTTTGTTTCCTCTTTTGCTTTATTTTGTATTTTAACGTTGAGAAAAAAAATATTAAAATAAAAAAAAGAAAAGAACAGATACGTGAATTGCATCTTTGCATTCTCCTATTTGAGTGGGTGAGTGGGATGTGTCTCAAATTGCAGCTTGCAATTGAAAAGGTAGTATGTAGGTCTGTTGTGTACAGGTAGTCCTCAACCTATGACCATAATTGAGTCCAGCATGTCTGTTGTTAAGTGAAACGTTTGTTAAGTGAATTTGTCCCATTTTATGACCTTTCTTGCCACAGTTGTTAAGTGAATCATTGTTAGTGTCATGGTTGTTAAGTGAATCTTGCTTCTCTATTGACTTGTTCTTGTCAGAAAGTCGCAAAAGGTGACCACATGACCCTAGGACATTGCAACCATCATAAATATGAGTTAGTTGCCAGCAGGGGTGAAATGTAAAATTTGTTACTACCGGTTCTGTAGGCGTGGCTTGGTGGGGGGGGTAATGTGACTGTGGGCGTGGCTTTTTTTTTTTTTTTTTTTTTTTTTTTTTTTACTTTTCAAAGTATTTTTTCTAATGCTTTGAAAAGCCTCTGCCGATGAGGAAACTCAGCTGGGATCGTCAGAGACTTTTCAAAGCATTTTTTTTACCACCTCTTCAGTCAAGAGGTTGCAGAAAAAAATGCTTTGAAAAGCCTCTGAGGATCCCAGCTGAGCAGCATGATCATCAGAGGCTTTTTTTTTACTTTTAAAAGTATTTTTTTGTCAGAAGAGGTTGTAGAAAAAATGCTTTTAAAAGTAAAAAAAAAAAAAAAGCCTCTGATGATCGTGTGGCTCAGCTGGGCATGGTGGGGGGGGGCACAGGGATTTTTGCTACCGGTTCTCTGAACCACCCGCCGCCATCACTACCGGATCAGGCGATCTGGTCCAAACCGGGAGCATTTCACCCCTGGTTGCCAGGCATCTGAACATTAGTCACATGACCATGGGGACGCTGCAATGGTCGTAAGTGTGAAAAATGGCCATAAGTCACTTTTTCAGTGCCATTGTAACTTAAACAGTTACTAAATGAACTGTTGTATGCCAAGGACTACCTGTATATGTTTCTTGTGTTTGCTTTTTGTTTGTTTTTTCTCTCTCTAAGAGAGGGAAAAGTCCAAGAAATATAAACTACAGGTAGTCCTCGAATTACGACCACAATGGAGCCCAAATTTTATGTTACTAAGCGAGATATTTGTTAAGTGAATTTTGCTCCATTTTACAACCCTCCTTGCCACAGCTGTTAAGTGAATCACAGCAGTTGTTGAGTTAGTCAGGCGGTTGTTGAGTGAATCTGACTTCCCCATTGACTTTGCTGGTCAGAAGGTCGCAAAAGGGGATCACAGGACCCTGGAACACAGCAATGGTCATAAATATGAAACAGTTGGCAAGCTTCAGAATATTGATCATATGATCATGGGGATGCTACAAAGGTTGTAACTCTGAAAAATGGTCGTAAGTCACTGTTTTCAGTGCTGTTGTAACTAAATGAAAGTTTGTAAGTTGAGGACTAACTGTACTTGCTATACAGGTAGTCCTTGATATACAACAGTTCATTTATTGACCATTCAAAGTTATAATAGCACTGAAAATAGTGACTTATGACCATTTTTCACACTTATGACCGCTGCAGCACCCCCATGGTCACGTGATCAAAATTCAGACACTTGGCAACTGACTTATATTTACGACGGCTGCAGTGTCCCAGGGTCACACGATCATCTTTTGCAACTTTCTGACAAGCAAAGTCAATGGGTAAACCAGATTCACTTAACAACCGCATGTGTAACTTAACAGCTACAATTATTCACTTAACTGTGTCAAGAAATGTCTTAAAATGGGGGAAAACTCACTTAACAAATACCTCGCTTAGGAACATAAATTTTGGACTCGGTTGTGGCTGTAGGTCGAAGTCTACCTCCATTTTCTACTCCTGATTTTCAGACAGTATAATGCCTCCACATTTTAATCAGTTGCAATTGTTGAACAGCTTTGTTACTTGTTTTCACAGTCTCATGGATTCAGAGATGTTCAGCATTCAGATTCAAACCTGAGCCCGGCAGAAAACGAAGCAAATCCTCGTAAAAGGCCAAGAACAGACCAGGTAGAAGAGCAGTGAATCAGAAAAATAAATTTCGGCTATGCTTCCTTTGGAAAATGATAGTACTACAAGATGGATATCAAGGTACCTCAGAGAGTAACATGAATAAAAAGTGTGAATTTCAAAGAATGGTAATTTCCCTTTCATTGCTTCTTTGTTGTGCCTTAATCTCCACTTCAGCGTTTCTTCAGATACAACTTCAGCATTTGTGTGTCTACAGCAGTACATTTCTTATGACATCAACTTTCCTTAGGGGAAGAAATACAAAGTCTAACTGAATTATCTGGTTGCTGAGGAACAAAACCTGTTGTGAGAAAATTCTTCATGGAACCCAAAACTCAAAAAGTACAGAATAACAGAATAGCAATAGCACTTATCTACTGCTTCACAGTGCTTTACAGTCCTCTCTAAGTCATTTACAAAAGTATGAAGGCTATTGCTTAACGCATTGTAAGCCGCCCTGAGTCTCCGGAGAAGGGCGGCATATAAATCGAACCAATAAATAAAATAAATAAATTTACAGAGTCAGCCTCTTGCCCCCAACAATCTGGGCCCTCATTTTACCCACCTCGGAAGGACGGAAGGCTGAGTCAACCTTGAGCCTGGTGAGATTCGAACTGCCAAATTGCAGTCAGACAGCAGAAGTAACCCTGCAATACTGCACTCTAACCACTGCGCCACCGCAGCTCAGAATAAGAGTTAGAAGGGACCTTGGAGGTCTTAAGAATAGAATAGAATAAAAACTTTATTGTCATTTTAAAGGTACCTTAAGCAGCATACATTAAAATGAAACTTTATTGCATTCAGCTCTCAAAAAATAACCATGATGCACCCAGATACATTCACACAGGGGTGAAATTCAGCGGGTTCTGGAGAACCGGTAGCACAAATTTTGAGTAGTTCAGAGAACCGGCAAATACCACCTCTGGCTGGCCCCAGGAGTGGGGTGGGAATGGAGATTTTGCAGTATGCTTCCCTTGCCACGCCCACCAAGCCACGCCCACACCGGTAGTAAAAATATTTGAATTTCACCACTGCACACACATATATGTTGGGGACAAGAGGCTGACTCTGTAAACCGCTTAGAGAGAACTGTGAAGCGGTATACAAGTATAAGTGCGATTGCTATTGTTATTGTTGGAAGCCAGTGGGGAAGGTCGCAAATGGTGATCGCATGATCCCAGATCTTGCAGCCATCATAAATATTGCCGGTCACCCTAATTTTGATCATGTGATCCTGGGGATGCTGCAACAGTTGTGAATGCAAGCATGCGAGTACAGGTATTCCACCATTTACATCCACAGTGAAGCCCAAAATTTCTGCTATTCAATGAGACGGTTAAGTGAGTTTTGCCCCCATTTTACGCCACAGTTGTTAAGTGAATCACTGCAATTGTTAAGTTAATAACACGCCTGCTAAATGAATCTGGCTTCCCCCCTTGACTTTGCTTGTAAGAAGATCGCAAAAGATGATCACATGACCCTGGGACATTGCAACCGTCATCAATATGAGTTAGTAGCCATGGGTCCGAATTTTGATCGCGTGACCTTGGAGATGTTGCCACGGTCGTGTGAAAAATGGTCACAAGTCACTTTTTTCAGTGCCATTGTAACTTTGAATGCTCACTGAACGGACTGTTATTAAGTTGAGGACCACCTGTAGCAATACCAAGAGTGCTTTACAGCTCTCTCTAAGTGGTTTACAAAGTCAGCCTCTAGCCCCCAACAATCCAGGTCCTCATTTTACCGACCTCGGAAGGATGGAAGGTTGAATCAACCTTCAGCCAGTCAGGATAAAACTTTGTGGCTATGGGCAGAGTTAGCCTGCAATACTACATTATAACCACTGTGCCACCAAGGATTCATTCCTTCCTTCCTTCCTTCCTTCCTTCCTTCCTTCCTTCCTTCCTTCCTTCCTTCCTTCCTTTGCAATAGAACTTAGACTTATATACTGCTTTACAGCCCTCTTTGAGCGGTTTACAGAGCCTCTTGCTGCCCCAACTATCTAGGTCCTCATTTTACCAACCTCAGAAGGATGGAAGGCTGAGTCGACCTTAAGTCGGTCAGGATTGAACTCCCTGGCTGTGGGCAGAATTAGCCTGCAATACTGCCTTCTAAGTTTTTACTGCTTCAGTTCTGTAAGAACGTACGTCACCAAGTGGAGTGAATTTTTCTCACCCCTTACCCTCTTCCATCCACCTCAGCACAGGTCAACTGTTCACTTAGTGACCATTCAAAGCCGTTCGAAGTTACAACGGCAACGAAAAAAGTGACTTATGACCACTTTTCACTCTTGTCGCATCCCCATGGTCATGTAATTTATATTTAGATGCTTAACAACTGCAGACATCACCTTCTGACAAGCCAAGTCAATGGGGAAACCTGTTTCACTGATCACTAATTTAACAACTGTAGTGATTCGCTTAACTGTGGCAAGAAATGTCGTAAAACGGGACAAAACTCACTTCACAAATTTCTCCCTTAGCAACAGAAATTTTGGGCTCCAATTATGGTCGTAAATTGAGAACTACCTGTATTGCCAGCTGCGAATCCGTTTACGGTCACTTTGCTGGAGTCTCAGGAGTGAAATGCTGTATGGTGATGTTTGTATAAAAAGCCTGAAGGGAAGTAAAGCTGGAAATTAAGGATCCTTGCAATATAGAGAAATTGCTCTAGGTTTTCTTAGTTTTTGTTTGGTGATCTGGAAGCAAGATGAGCAGCAAACAAATCTAATAAAAAAATTAAAAAAAGGTTGAGAGGCAGAATGCAGACCTCACAGGACACAAACTACCTTTGGAAGAATTCATATTTTGCTACAAAAGATACAATTCAGGCGAAGGAAGGAAGCTTTTTCGCTGCTGCTGATTCACGTTACACCTGACCTACTAATAGTGATTTGTGACATCACAAAATATGCGGATTAAAATACGTGCATCTCTCGAGAAATTCACAGAGGCGGGAAAGAAAGTAAATGCTGCCCCGAGAAGCATCTGCATTTTTTCACTTTGACGTTTTAAATTCAGGATGGCCTTGTTTTCAAGGACTCCCGAGCATCGCCAACCCCAAATTCTCTCTTCCTTTCTTCCAAAACTCAATGGATCCAGCCTTTCGCGCCCCCCCCCCCGAGCGCGATCAAAAAAAAGAGAAAAAAACCACCTCAAGCCCAATCTGCATAATAAAATATTCAAGAGTTCCATTTCGGGAGTGAGACGTGATCCAATTTTGGAATCCGTGAGTCAGAAGGAGCTTTCCTGCCAACGTGAAACAAAAGCAAGGGGAGCATCGGCGAGGAAGAAGAGGAGGAGGAGGGGAAGGAAAGGGAGCTGGACGCGATGATTCAGACAAAACGTTTTGGCGCAGGAGACATTGACAAACAAAAGGGACCGACTGTGAACAAGCAAATGCTTCATTTGGGAATAATAGCTGCTTACGTCTTTGCAATGCCGGTTAAGAGCGTTGGGGGTGGAGGTTGACATACAGAACACGCCTGCATGGCTATATGGAGGAATGAGGGTGCGTGTTGTGATGTCTTGCCTTGAACCTGGGTTTGTTACGGATTGACGCGGTGCTTCCTTTGCCAAGCTGCAAATCTGAAAATTGATCTTTTTCTGATCAATCCAAATTACTTTGGTATGTCACGGCTTTGATTTACAGTATCTTCGTCAAAAGTGGGGCATTTTTTTCTTCTTCTTAAAAACAGCAAACGTTTAACGTATTACTCAGGTGACTTCCTTCTCGGTAATACAGGTAGTCCTCTACTTACAACAGCTTATTTAGTGACCCGGAAGTTACAACGGCACTGGAAAAAAAGGTGACAGGGCCGTGTTTCACACTTACGACCGTCGCAGTATCACCATGGTCACATAATTTACATTCAGGTGCTTGACAACTGGCTCATATTTATGACGGTTGCAGTGTCCCGGGGTTATGTGAGACCTTTCCGATGAGCAAAGTCAATGGGGAAGCCAGATTCACTTAACAACCCTATTCCTAATGGAACGACTGCAATGATTCACTTAACAAATGCGGTGAAGAAAAGTCGTGAAGTGGGTCAAAACTCTCCTTAACAAATTTCTCACTTAGCAACATCAATTCTGGGCTCAGTTGTAGTCGTAAACCGTAAGACTACCTGTAATAATATTTTTGGAATAGTCTGGCTATAGATTCCCAACAGCAATTCACAGCAGTTGAGAGTTCCAATGTGATATTTTCGTGTCATTGACTTTCTGAAAGTTGTAAAAATAACAACATGAAAAATGCAAGATTGTTTTAAGTTCAGGTATTTTGAGCCTTGCAGAAAGACTTAAAATTTAAAGAGAGAGGTGACGTGAGTCCTACTTGCTTGCTTCCAAATTCAAATCTTGACTTTCCGTTCTCCTCTAACATCTGCAGGGGCTGAATTGAGACTGCTGCTCAAATAGAGAAATTGAATGAATGATAGATAGATAGATAGATAGATAGATAGATAAATACGGTATCTGTGGGCCAGTCATTTGCAGCCCCAAATACCTCCGAGAATCAAACATGGGCAGAAACTTCCTCCAGAAGAAAGGTGAAGATAAAAATAAACATTTTTTTTGTGAGAGAGTTGATGCTTTTGGACAACATATGAAACTTTTTATCTATTGCATGTTTATGTACCCTGGGTAATTTATATAGCATCTGGACATCTGTGGAGATTTTCAATCATCCAAGAAATGGTTATCCCAAATGTTGTTTCCAAAAAAACAACAGGATTTTCTTGTTTTGTTTTGTTTTTCTTTGAAAACACTTCATTTCTTGGATGAAAATCAAAACATTTTCAAAGGAAAAAAAAAGCCAAGAAAGTCCGATTTTTGGGAAATCACCTTTGGGATATCATCTGGATATTTGGTCAGGGCAGAATATAATTCCAAGCCACTCAGTCTCACTATTTGGCAAACATTAGTACAATGAGAAGTGCTAATCCAGAACACTTTTAACATACCTAAATTAAATTTAACCTAACCCCAAAGGGTCCTCCCCTTTTCATAAGATCCTTACTTTATACACATCTGGACTTGAGCAGCCTTACCCTAAACCTAAATTATTTTGATTATATTATTAATAATCAAAACAAACCAATGAAGTTTGTTCATCCCACTGTGAGA